AACTTTGAGAGACACTACGACCAGGTTTTTCGGGAACAGTTCGGCATCCTCGCCGGTAATTTCTAACGGCCCATCGGCTACAAGAACCACACATTTTTGGAAGACTCGTTGAGCTATTTAACCCCCGGTCTGGGTTGCAGGCACATTCAATTGCGAAGACTGGAGCTAGACTCTACCGTTTGATTAAGGTAAAATACGATGTTTGGGTAATATATTTATAGTTACTTCTATTTAAAATTTATTTAAACATTTCGTTATTCTTTTGGTAATTATGCGTACCATTAAACATTGTTTTAGTATTTAAAACCATGGTACTGAATTTTGTCCGATGGATCATAGTGACAGGAGTGTTATGGGTACAGAAATCATAGTACGGTACGTAAAACACTAAATTGTCGAGACCTGCACTTGAGCATTCTAGCTGCAAAATAAAGAGTCAGAGGTCTTGAGGTCCAAACATATGTCAAAGCTATATATTTTTAAAGGTAGACATATCCAGAGCAAAATGAGATATTTACATTTGTATAAGTATAGTAAAAAATAAGCTTGGCCTTTTATAGCTAGCATATGATATACGCGGTATGATATTACTAGAGGATGTAAGAGAAGGATCGAAAACTGCGCTCATTCCAAGACTCAATGGTGTAAAAAGCGATTGTCTACGTCAATTTAAGAAGCAAAAAATATCGCAATGATGAGATCACTTGAAAATTTTCTTCTATTGTGTTCTGCTATACGAAACTTAATTCTATTCGTGTCTTGCTGAATTTCATCTCTCACTAAAAACAGTCTTTTCTTTTTGAATAATAAGAAAAGTCGTATTTGCAACACACGAATCTCAGCAGATCGTATGACAAAGCATTTGCCCGAAACGTGTCGCGCGCAGATGTTTCAGTTTTCTTCTGTCGATAGTCCTGTGAGTGAATCAGGTCTAAATACAGTAGAAACTATTTAGAAATAGCATATGATTCTGCCCATCATCGATAGTCGAAGTCGATGTCGTATGTGCCTTTCAGCCAACAATGAGAGATCACTTCCAATCAAATCTGCTCTTTTCCTTGTACGAAGCCTCCACTCTGTCGCCCTTCTGGGACTACTTTTGCCTGCTATCGTTATTGGCGTCAACAATGACCTTTTAGCCACTAGCCAGTCGCTACTTCATGAAATGATTCCTCGATTGTTGCGACCAGGTTCTTTATATACCACGTAAGTGTAATAAAGAATATTACCGAAGATCAGCCACTTGACCGAATCTTACAAATTGTATTAAATTTACAACAGGAAAACACGAGATATCAAGTATATTTAGTAATGCTCATCTTCTAAGCTTGAATTCCTAGAATCTTTAAAGCTTGCCTAAGGTGCCTTCTTAGAAACTTTTGAGTCCTGTAGTTTCGAAAAGTACCCGTAAGATTGACTCTTGTTCTCTTTGTCGCGTAAAATAAAATTGTAGCATATGAACGTCATTTTTGTCAGTAATTTCAACTCCCAATGTGATAGCCGTGGTATAATTTATTGCTCATTGCCACGTTCAATTTTTTATATCGCCGTGTTCTTTACGTTAAAGTTGCATGAGTTGTTCGTTTACGTACATATAGTCGTTCACTGCTCTGTCTTTAGTCCTAAATCGTTGACACAACTCGCTATTACAGCACTGTATCGTCAATAAGTAATAGTAAGGTATGGGATACAATATTTTATTACTCTAGATTTTGTTATCATTTAAAAGCTTAATGTTTATCACTTTTTATTTTAAGAGTAAGAAAAAACTACAACGACGTTACTGTAAACTTCGGAACTAAGCACTGTTTCTATTCGCCGATGTGAAGAAACGCTCAGAGATCGGACTTGTACGTCCTTTCAACAGCCAAAACCGACAGCTTCTGCCATCACTTAGTGTCTAATCTGATCTGCTAGTTCAAGAGTAGATGTATGCGAGTTAAGCTATTGAAAAATACAATATTTACTTATTACAAACCAGCTGAAATGCGTTAGCAGTCCACGCGTACGATAGGTCTCTATTTTTTGGGGCTCTATCATCTTCATGAGTACCGATACTTATTCCTTCCTTCAATTACACCAAAACACAATGTAAAATTAATTTAGACATTGCGCGAAATAAACCGTATCACGAGTAATTATTGCACCTGAAGTCAAGCTCCAGTCTTTGCAAATGAATATGGCGAGGGGAGGATACCTTCCAAAGCCCCTACCGCGGAGCGATGTGCCAACACTCATTGGATTTGGGTTTAATAATGCAGCGCAGGCCTCTACGAGCTCATCACAAATTGTATTTGTTTGACGCCATCAGTAATCTTGATGGTAGAGGAACCATTCCAATGTCATCCTGATTCCACCTTCTGGCGGCGGAAACACATATGTTAATAGAATTAAGCGTAAGACGGCGATTGCGCAACGCTATGGCTGAGAGCAGCAATGTTCAAAAGCAACACCCAGCAAGAACATCACACAGAGTATGGAGTAGGTGAGCTTTGTTGTTGAAAAATGTCAAACTCCCTGTCTTCGGTATGATTTTGCAATCAACCAGCTATTGGCTCCGCCCACTTTGAACATTAATACGTTCTCTATTTTTACACGGATAAGGCTTTCACGGAGCGACAAGCCATTAGCATCACTATCAAGGACAATTACCATGCTCAGGATGCCATCGACGTATTATAAACAGCGACAACATATCAATCACCTTTAATTGCTATCATGGCAGGCAATATAGCAATCCCACGTTGTTGAAAGACATAACTCGCGACATACAAACAGGAAGTCGTCTTATAGAATGTCCATTTCCATCAGAGCAAAATTCTGTAAGAAAATGGGAATATAGACCCATCATTGGAATGAATTTGCTTATTGATCCATGGATGAATTTCGGGGACTCATAGCCGAAATAGGGGGGGCAAATAGCGCCTTCTATTCAATAACCTACCAGCTTTATATTTTGTTTTAATACTCGATCTCTCCTGACACAAATGGTAAATTTATCAGTTGATGTGAATAAAAGTTAGATGCTGCCGTATTTGATACAGATTGAAAGTGACAGTATCATCGAAGCACTTGGCTAAGCTGTTTATCGGTCACTTAGTCTCTTGATTTTGATATATCTACCTCGTCCCACACCATTTTAATATAGTTTGCAGCGAAAAGAATGGATATTATTTGTTTTGCTATTTACGAAAAGCTTACCCGTTTTAAAATAAATAAACTGTCGTAGGCTTGACCAATCGGCTGTTGTAGGCAGCCTATATATCGTCTGCGCTTGGATAGACGTTGTAGTATTTATAATACATACATTCGTATATATCTGTTAACTAATGCCCATCAAAGGACATGTAAAAATCCATCTTTATGTCCTCCAGACAGAATGGAAGCTGTCTATTCAAGGTAAGTGAAGCCGGAATACGATATTTGAGTCTATAAGCTGATGTATATATACAATAGCTCATATCTGAATTGCTTATGGTACTTATGCGTACCATTATTATTCCAACATCTGTGCCAGTATTTCAAATCATGATACTCAATATTGTCCGACGGACAATAATGACAAATGTGTTAGGTCTACAAAAACCATTGTACGGTACGTCCTCCGTTGCGAGCAGGTGACGGACGTTATTTCGTCGAGACATGGCATTCTAGATGCCAACAATCGAGTGTGAGGTCCTGACATATGTCGAAGTGATACATTTTAAAAGGTATGCTAATACAAAGCCACACGAGGTATTTGGCATTGTATTAGTATAGTAAAAGTAAGCTTGGCCATCTGTCATCAAAACCAAATAAGATATGATAACAAAGGATTCATGCATATACACAAGCGGTATGATATTACTACATACTGTGAAATACAGCAATTCTACCAACTGTGTTGGGATTACACCACTGAATGCTTGTTGGACAGGCGGATGACGTCAGATGGTT